CGGCGGCCCCGCGCCCGGGTGGGTCCATTCGTTCCCGGTGACCGAGCACTACGTCGTCGTGCCGGAGATGCCGCTGAGGTACTGCGCGCAGAATCTGCTTAGGGCTGAGCCCACGCCCTTGTATAAGTTTCAGTGGCATCCGGAGTCTAAAGGCTTCTTGCACGTTATGTGCAAGAGTAGTGGAAAGATTGTACGTATATACTTTCTCCTTCTTACACAATATTTTCGTTAGTTTAGTGCATTAATACATATATTCAAGGATACTAAAGTATGAATTGAAAATTAATGTTTATTAGATTAATTCATTGGTAGTAACTAATAACGTCCCAGGTTAAATTTGTTCATATATGACACTAAAAAGGAATTATTTTAAGGGTACGTATTACTCATTTTGATTATTTTCTGTTGTTTCATCAGATTATTCTAGTAATTATTCTAATTATTGACTATCGTAAATAATACATTTTATACTTATTTGCGGTAATTACCGAAGTACAGCAACAACAACAAAAAAACAACTATTATTTTTTTAAAAAACTTTCCTTCATGAGTGTCATGTCAAAACAAAGTGTTATTTAACATGATATATGGTCCCTTCATGATATATGAGTGTCTAGCAATTCATATATTATGCATTACTTACTATTAATATTAGACTAATTATATTCACAAATATTAATTAATTTTGTTTTAAATTAAGAATATCGACCGAGCATTTTTCCACTTTTAAGTTTATGTATAATTAACCAAGAAAGCTTATATCATAACCATCAATTTAATTACGTGATTGAAGGTGGCGAGCGTGGAAGTGCCATTGTACATTACATTCCATTTCATAAACGCCTATGAAGAGAGAGACGAGGAAGGGAGGTTGACGGCCATTGTTGCAGACTGTTGTGAGCATAATGCAGACACTACCATCCTTGATAAGCTGAGGCTGCAGAACCTCCGCTCTTTTAACGGCCAAGATGTGCTACCAGATGCCAGGTACATACGTGATTGACTTCTATATTGATCATAGATGTTGCTAATAGTGATTGCATCTTGTAAATAAATTATTATTAGTTAGGGTCACTTTAAACATTATTGATATATAGATATATATATACTAATTATTAATTAATTTAATCTTGAATACCATGTATATATAATTGACTTGTGATCAATTAGGGTTGGGAGGTTTACCATACCAATGGATGGGAATCCATATGGGAAGTTGGAGGCAGCTTTGGACCCAAATGAACATGGGAGAGGGATGGACATGTGCAGCATTAATCCAGCCTACTTGGGCAAGAAATACAGATACACTTACGCTTGTGGGGCCCACCGCCCATGCAATTTCCCTAACACCATCACCAAGGTACCGTTATATTGTACTACCATCATCAATATGGTCAATATTTCAGCCTCATTTTTTAATACGAATATCGATGAGAATAGAAACTAATATAATGAGAAAATAAGACATCTAATTAGGTTGACGCCCTCTAACAACTCAATCGATATTATATATACACCTCATAACCGTTATTATTATCTGAATCTGAAGAATAGAAAACTAATTAGTGAAACCGTTTTTACAAGTTTAAAATCCGTAAATGTTACAGATTGATTTGGTAAAGAAAAGGGCAAAGAATTGGTACGAGGAGGGCTCAGTGCCATCAGAACCGAGGGCGCAACACAGGAAGATGACGGTGAGTAGTACTAGCTAGCATTGCATGCATTAATTAATTAATTTATACAGAATATTACACTTCAACAAAAATTGATTAATAAATAGATAAAGATTATAAATATTATATACAAGTCATGTATTTCCTAGCTTGACTTGACGATTAAGACTTTTTGAATATTGTTCTTGAAGGTGTGGTGATCTCGATGATAAGTGAGAATAATGGAGGTGGATACGCACTGTTATTAGATGGGTCCACCTTGGAAGAGATTGCCAGAGCAAAGTTTCCTTATGGTCTTCCTTATGGCCTCCACGGCTGTTGGGTTCCAAACAACTAATAAAAACTCCCTCCATGCCTAAAACTTCAGTTGAGAGTTAGAGCAATATTTGTTCTAGTTGTAGTATTGGTAGAAAGATGGGTCCCACACACGTGGTTCGTATACATAGATATAGCTATAAGGATGTATATTGCCATGAAAAGTGTGTGCAATATCAGGATGATGAATGGCAAGCAGTGTAATTATTAGATGTTGATTATAGTAATTTATTGATAAATGGCGAGCGAGTACTGAATGTTGGTTAGTTATGTAAATCTTTTATTTGTCATGATAAATGAAAGCTCAATTCTCTTTCCAAACTTGCTTCTCGTCTATTGATATTAAGAGCCCATTTGATTCATAGATATGAAAAGGAAATTTAAACAGAAACTCTATAAAAAAAAAAAATTAAATTAAATTGCAGTTCAAATCTGCGAGAAAGAAAAAGAGGGACTATAAAAGTGATTGAGAACTCAATAATTAGGTTAAGAAAACCTCTTATATTATGTATGTTGTTTGCACATGTAATGGCGGATGCAAAAGAAAACTACTGCCAAATTGAGGCACTGGAAGACATGTCAAGAATTGAATTCTTATTACTTCAAAGGGGGTTTTTTTTTTTTTTTTTGTTTTTTAAAGGATATTATTCTGCACTGACACCTTTCACACCAAAAGAATATGAGAAAATTATTTTCTCCCTGATGAAAAGGAGAAAGGTAACAGTTAAAAGCCCCAGACTCGGCCCCCTTCTTTATTTCTCATTTAGACATCTTTGAGGTGTATTTTCCAATGAGATTATAAGAAGAAATCAAGCACAAACCAGATATCCTCAACGCCAAAAGCTTGGTTTAATTGCCCAAACAATGAGTTGCATACATTAGACTAGAGATTCTGATCACTTCTGGTCAGTATAAACAGCATCAACATCATCTAGCTCAAGTAATTTATTAATGAGTTCCTTGTTCAAATCCACAGCCTCATCGTCTACCTGAAACCGATCATTAACATTGACGTATTTTTAATAAAAGGGCAATACTTATTCAGTCTCCGAAGCTCATCATTAACATTAAACCTTAACACACCTCAATAGTGGTAATCGGAATTAGTTCAGAACCACTATCAGTCTCGAAAGGTATTCCTTCTTCGCGTAGTTTTGACAATATTGCTGAATAGTTCTCTGACAAACTGACGATTTTAAAGTAGCTACCAGAGAGCAAGAAAGAAATCAGAACTCTGTAGAATTTTATACCCCGACTTCCAAAATTGCCACATTGTCATAGTTCTTGTACAAACAGCAAGCATACATCGATGAATTACAACAAAGATACGACATTTCAGAAAGTAGAGTTGGAGTGTGGAGCATAGATATAAGAAGTAAAAATCGATAAAGTTCTACTTACCTCTCTGATGCATCTTCTTCAGTGTCATCTTCATACAATGGAGGTTCAACGACATCCTCAGCACCGGCATCTAATGCAATCGAAAGGAGTTGATCCTTGTTAGCATCTGAGGCTTTTATGTTTACCACCCGAACACGTCTGAATTTAAACATCACAGAACCTGGATCTGCCATCTTCCCCCCATAGTCCTTCACTACCTGTCTAACAGCAGCCACAGATCGAGTAATTTTATCTGTCAGGACTTCAACTACAATACTAACTCCCGCAAATCCATAAACCTGTTAATTGAGAAAACAAAGTGTATCACTAGATGTCAAACCATACAGTGTAGAACAACAATGAATTAAACAGGCAACAGGATATAGATAGATAAACAATATCTGCCTCATAGATTTTCTCAATGTAAGTTTCTTGTCCCTTCTCAGAAGCTTTCTTGATGTTTCTCTCCAAGATATCCTTTGGTACATCAAGCTCCTTGGCTTTCTCAAGTACAGCAGCAAGGGCTATGTTTGATACGGGATTTGGACCGCCTCTTTTTATGCTGAATTATTTGGAAAACTGAAATTTATGAGGCGGAGTAACTCCATAACATATAAATAAACAAATAGAGAGCTGCTTCTTTGGCAAAAATAAAAAGGACAGATTATGTTGCTCCATGATGAAATCATAATAAGTGTAAAATAAAATCCAACCACCCTGGTTTCCTACTTCCTTCCATTTCCATCCATAAAAGAAAAGTTAATCGTTTTCTACACGACAATCAAGTCTACGCAAATTACTTAAAGACGCAATTATTCCGACATAACATGCAAAAGAATAATGTTTTATACTTTTATATTACAACATATTAAAGTGTGGAAGCTACAATTATTAAGGTCTACTAAGGCTTAGTTTGGTAGTGCTGTAGATTTTGGAAAAATTGCTTTTAGCTGTGCTGAAGGAAGAATCAGCTGTTATAAAAAGTAGCTGAGTGTTTGCTAAACTATAATTATAGTAGCTATGCTAGTTCAAAAATCAGTGTAATAACGTTTGATAAATTATGAGGTTGAATTGTTGTGGATAGTTAAAAATTACGACTATATTATATTATACTATAATATAATATATATAATTACAATATAATATATATTTATTATTATATTTAATATAATACACAAAAAAAA